ATGCTGAGTGTTCAGTGGATGCCGGCCCAGCACGATGCTGAGTGTTCAGTGGGTTTTCCTCCCTTAACACGCTCTCTGTTTCGCTGTTGCACATGGCTGCTTTTGCCATGCAAAGATTCTGGCATTAAAAGTAAAATTTTGCTAAATGAAGCCCCCCTTTGACAGCCCCGGCAGATAAGAGCCAGTGGTTGTTTCGCTGGTGCTGGGTGACCTGCACACTCCGGGCTGGCCGGGGGGGTGCTTCTGAAGCTGGCTAGCTGAGGTTGTTCTGCTGCGACGGGGCCACTTCCTGCCCCCATCCCCCAGCCCAGCACTAGCCCTTGCCAGGAGTATTTGTCATTTTTCTAAAATTGTACCATTTGAGTAGCTGGACCATCTGTCTGGCTCTGGGGACACGTGGCGCTGGTGCCCCCCATTCTTGGCTGGTTTAATGGTGCCCAGCCCACTCTGCTCCACACTCTGTCTTTAGTCCAGGACGGCCGGGGGACACTTCCTAAGGGGGATGTCCTTGTAGATGTATTACCATGGCAGTCTGTGCTGGAGTGCTGCCTGTGCAGTACACATGTGGAGGTGCAGCACATGGGGGGGGGCACGGGAGGGCACCAGCAGCCGTATCTGCAACGCTGGGGGCACGGACACCTGTATCTGCTTCATCCTGCACTGAAGCGTGGCATATTTGTGTTTTCCCACAATCCCCTGCTGTGGCCTGACCTGGATCTGCTGTGCTGTGCTGCTGTCTCACTGCCATCTCCATGGAGCTGCATAAATGATGGGATGTTGTGGTTGTGAGTTTCTGTATGGTCCATTCAGTGGGTTAGGGCTCCATGCGCCTTGTCCCGTTTCGGGTCACGTGACCGGCTGGTGTGTGTGTCAGCGGGTCACGATGGTGGTGATGACGATGTTTGTGAGCGTGTGTCTGACTGTAGGCCGGACTCACGGTTACCGAAAGGCCCACTGAGCCATGACAGCAGGAGCAGAGCGACTCCGACGCCGGTGCTGTGTGTGTTCCGATCCACTCCAACTGCTGCTGCTCAGCGCAGAGATAGAAGATGGCACCCTCATTCCAGCAGTGATGCTGGCCACCATCCCTCCCCCCTCCTCTCTCTCTCTCTCTCTCTCTCTCTCTCTCTCCCCCCCTCACCCCTCGTCTCCCTCCCCCCCTCGCTCCTCCGCCACTGTGTGCCGAGTCCCGCCTTCCTGTTTGCTGAATTGCCTGCTGTTCCCTGGCACTGTCAGAATGGAGCCCTTCACTGTGCCTGTCCCCAAGCTCAGGGTTCGTGCGGGTCAGGATGGGAACGGGATGGTTCTGTGTGAGCTCTGCTCTCCTATTTGCCGGAGAGAAGCTCGTAGCTTCAGAACCCAGGAAGCGAAGTGTTTAGCTGGATGTCTGTCTGTCTGTCTGCCGCTTTTGCGGAAGCAAACCGCCCATCTGGTGAAATCAGCAACTGGCCTTCCTGCGATTTTGCTTCTCTACCTGTTGCGGCTCGTGTGCATAACGACGGCTTTGTACCTCTCCCCAGTGACCCCAGCAGTCCGGCACCACCGCGGCAAAGATGTCTGCGCCTGGGGGTAGCAGCGACTGCCCCCACCTGCAGTGCGTGGGGGAGGTCACCAAGGAGGAGCTCATCCAGAAATCCCATGTGAGTCGGCTATGAGGCCTCATGGGCCGTGGCCCCCGCACAGCCCGGAACGGGTGGAGGTCTGACCTGCATCTGTTTGTTTGCAGGGACAATGCCAGGACTGTAAGGTGGGGGGACCCAACTTGTGGGCCTGTCTGCAGGTGAGTAGGGGGAGGGGCTGTGAGAGTCAGTCATGTGACATGCAGATGCATTGAGACTGATGCCTCTCTTGTGTATCCTCAGAACGGCTGTGTGTACGTGGGCTGTGGGGAGTCACACGTGGACCACAGCACTGTGCACTCGCAGGTGAGCGTGTGGAGTGACTGTCTGCATGTATACACACACACACACACACACACACACACACACCGGCTGCTCCGTCAGGAGGCCCCTGCCAGCCTGCAGGAAAAACCCCGTCTGATCCCAGCCTTTGACCCTGAAGGCACCACCTTTCATCTGCGACGTGGAGCTGCTTTTCCCAAGCGCTGGAAGCTGAAGCAGGCAGGATTTCCATAAGCCCTCTGTGAGCTGCTGAGCAGCCTGTGCCCTGGACATAAATAATTCACATCATTTCCCCTGGGAGGCGCTATGTTCCTTTTATTCTGCCTGGTTCAGGTCTTTTCTAGAAAGATTTTCTTATCAGGTCCATGTGGGGCACCAGTCCCTGAGAGGTGTGAATCACGTTGCCCACACCCAGGACCCTGTGGGCCCCCCCAGAAATGCCCACCAGCAATGTGCAAAATTAGGATTAATTAGGATCCTCCCTTTAATGAGGGTGTTCCGCTGTCAGGGATGACCGCCCCCACCCTGATGGCAGGAACGGAGATGATCTTCACGGTGTTCCCCCGGTAACAGCGGGAACCGAGATGATCTTCACGGTGCTCCCCCGGTAACAGCGGGAACGGAGATGATCTTCGCGGTGTTTCCCCCGGTAACAGCGGGAACGGAGATGATCTTCACGGTGCTCCCCCGGTAACAGCGGGAACGGAGATGATCTTCACGGTGTTCCCCCGGTAACAGCGGGAACGGAGATGATCTTTCTTTTTGCTAACTGATTTCTTCTAACCCCAATGCCTGGTGGCAGTGTAGCCTGGGCTGTACAGGGCTGCTCTGCACACCTCTCCCAAACATGGAAATCTAAGCGGTTTCACTCATTTCAAGTGAGTTCTGTTTTTTTTCCAGTTCAGTTTGCTTGTAAAAGAGATGCGTTCCGAACAGCCATTCGTAACTTGAAATGTTCGTAAGTCTTTATTTAACATCGTTTTAAGGGTATACACAAGAACAAATAACTAGGATGCTGGGAGTCCGCACGCTACGCTGCTGCGCGGCGGGAGTAGCAATCAGAAGTCGTACTAGGCGGAATTGGCAGGCAGAAAAAATAAATGATCTCGCATACAGGAAACGGGAGCCCAATGAACACAATTTGGACTTACAGTCCTCTTCGTTCGTATGTCTGAAAGTTTGTAAGTTGAAAGTTTGTAAGTAGAGGAAAGTCTGTATAGTACATTTTCTCATTACATTATCCCAAAGCCCTTTACATTACCCCTGCCCAAAGCCCCCTGTGAGCAGCCAGAGGTGACAGTGGCAAGGAAAAACCTTGGGAGGAACCAGACTCAGAGGGGGAGCCCAACCTCCAGGGGCCGGTAGAGGAAGTCAAATGAGCAAGATGGCAAAATCTTAATTTATACAGTCCAAATTTTAAGACTTGAGTCTCAATTCAGAGGGCAGGCAGGTGACTGCAGGCTGGTGCTGGTTCTGATGGTAGGATGAGCGGAGATACAGCAGCAGGGTAGGGAGGAGAGTCCTGAGGTGGGCACTGTTTTAGTAGGGGATGGGGACGCGCGGGCGGGGGGACGGGGACTGTCGCGGCATGCGCGCTGATGCAGAGGGGACAAAGTGAGGGCTGTTTTGGTACGCACTGGGAAAGGGCAGGGATGGCTTTGGT